GTGTGGGCCGCACCCTCCCGCGGCCCCCCCCCCCCCCCCGCCGCTACCGCCGCCGCCGCCCTCACGCCAGGACCTGCATGTCCAGGCTTACAGCCCGGACTACAGCCGCTCCAGTCTCAGCTCCAGGACCTCCATCAGGAGGAGGCGCTCTCTGTGGAACTGCACCTCCCTGGTGTACCAGAGCTCAGCTCGGGCGTTGGCGTGGCTGTTGGGGCTCATGTACTTCAGCTCGCTGCCCACTGGCGTTTACCTGCTCCTCATGCAGAGGACGGCCCTCGGGGCGCTGCTGGTCAGCCTGGTTCCTGCCAGTCTGGTCCTGGTCATGGTCTACGGACTGGTCCAGTGTGTCTTCCATGAAGTGTGGGACTGTGTGACATCATAACGGGAGCGGGAGAACAGGAAGTGGTCGGTTCGAAGAACACCATCAAGAACATCGGCCGTAGAAGTCTGAACTGAAGAACCCGACCTCGCTGACTGTTTGACAGAACACACACACACACACACACACATTCAGCAGCAGGTTTGACCCCTGACCTTGTACGGCAGCTGATAAATAAAGGTCTGACCTGAACGACAGTGAAGTGTGTGTGGATTTATTTAACCAACTTCAAAGACGTCCAGTTTGTGTCGACATTTGTTTTTTGTGGTGAAAAGGTAGAAAGGAGGTGGAGCTTTAAGTTCCAAAATGAAAAACCAGGATGAATTCTTGGACTTGTCTGTTTTCCCTTCTTTTCTACATCTATGGAAACAAACATTGAACCTGTAACAACCAAAGGTTCTTATTATAAACACATGAGAAATAAAACCAACATCAGTGATGTTTGTTTCTTATTCTGTCTCTTCTGTATCTGTAGCCGGTCCAGTTCCTCTTTAATGTCTATCTTTTTTCACAGGCGAAACAGCAAACAGTTCTCCTGCCCGGTTCTCCAGGTTCTCCAGGTTCTCCAGGGTCACTCTACACTGACCACTGGTGTGAATGTGGGTGTGAATGCTGTGAACGCTGTGAACCGTGACCACTGGTGTGAATGTGGGTGTGAACGCTGTGAACCAACGGCTGGTGTCAGTTCTTCCTAAATTCTACTGCAGGTTTTACAGCAGCAGTTCTCACCTTTGACCTTGACACATGTAGACTGTTTGCAGAATTGTCACACAGCTATTAATGATTCAATATTACTATGTCCAAACTTATAATTAGAAATATTAATTTTCATCGAAACTGGAGATTTCCTGGGGCCTGGGGGAAAAAACATCCGATTTTAATTCACTGTCACCGAGGTAAGTTTCAAAGGATTCAAAGGGATGGAATCGGGGTCGATGCATTTTTCCTATTAGGACGTGAATTACTTCTCATTCCCACAGGAAGTCAGCGGGACCGCTGTCAGCCAATCAGATTGACGGAAAACGCTGAGACAACAAACAAAAGATCGAGGTTAGCCGAGCTCCTCGATCTGAGCCGTTTATTTAACGTTGGCTCCCGGTCTGGGCCTCACAGCCGCACCTCGTCTCTGCTGCTCCTCCGAACATTTTTGCCAGTTCTTTGTCTGGACACTTTATTCCCTCTTTTCGTCGTTGTATACACTAATGTCCGCCTGAGCCCCAGTGCTAGTCGACCTGAGCGCGTTAGCCTGGTTAGCTGCTGGGCTAAAGCAGCTTTGGCTGTGTCTCATCTCTAAAGACTTGACAAACAAACTTGGCACTGACAGCCCGTCGGCGGCTCTGGCTTGTTCTCTCTTGGTTGACAAGCCACTGTCGTGTTCCCTGTCGCCGCCATGTCCGGACACTCTCAGCCGGGATGTGGCTTTCTGATGTCGGTCGTCGTTAACGGGGACGCGGCTCTGAACGAGCAGGAAAAGGAGCTGAACCAGCAGCTGCGGCGGCTCTACCCGGCCGTCAACGAGACCGAGACGCCGCTCCCTCGCTCCTGGAGCCCCAAGGACAAATTCAGCTACATCGGTCTTTCCCAGAACAACCTTCGCGTCCATTATAAAGGTATGACACACGATAATATTCGCGTTTAACCACTTTTAAGGCTGCGGCTAGTATTAGCTTAGCTTAGCTTGAGTGCTGGTGACTGCTAATGTGGCTAAAAACAAAGTGGGCTAGGCTACAGTTACATCAACAACCAGACAGAGGACATCTTACATCCCAACCAGCAAGCCAATACGAGAAGACACGAAGATGCCCTGACGCGATTCTACCGTAATGTGAGCCATCGACGATATTATCGTCGCCGTATAAATAAATGTGCTTAACTGCGTTCGTGTTGTTACCTTAGCTAAAGTAGAGAGGCACCTGAACTATGATAAATATCCTGAAATGACAACAACACAAGACGTGTTTTAACCACTCAACAAATGTATAAAAAATATCCAACAAACGTGTGAAGGAACGAGGGGTGGAGCAGCACAGGCTCCAGGTTTGGACAGGTGAGTTCCACCTGTCAATCAGGCTGAAAGTCCTTTAAAACCGTCCAGCCTTTTCCCTTCTCTGCGTGTATTTGGACTGCAGGAGGAAGTGGGAATGTGACTCTGGACACAGGAAGACCACCGGCCCGGGTCACGGGTCACGGCTTGGAAACGCCACGTCTGTGTTGTTGTATTTAAAATACTTAGGAAGTCGGAGTCTTCACAGGGGTGGAGAAGTTGTCAATACATTTTTTTCTTCTTCTTGTGTGATGATGTCGTCGTCGTGAGTTGTTGTTAGTCTGTCCTCAGCAGACTGTCCCGGTTCTGTGGCCCAGAGTGACTGCAGTAGAACGTGGATGTGGTGTTTGTTGAGAAAGAATCTGAGCACCGGTTCACTTCACTGCCGCTGCCGCTCTCTGCTTTGCCCTCAACTTTTAGGTCACGGCAAGACCCAGAAGGATGCGGCGTCCGTACGGGCCACCCATCCCATCCCAGCAGCCTGCGGGGTCTACTACTTTGAGGTGAAGATCATCAGTAAAGGCAGAGAGGGGTAAGTTCATGCCGTCACTGTCAGGAGACATTTATGGTACGGGCGGCTCTGGAGCTGCTCTGGTCTCCTCTGACCAGTCGGTATCCAGTTCTGGTTCTCAGCAGACTTTGGTCTCAAAGTCCAGTCTTCTAATAAAACCCTTTCCGGTCCACAGGTACATGGGCATCGGCCTGTCAGCTCAGGGTGTGAACATGAACCGACTCCCAGGTGAGTCCAGACCCACGTCATTAAATAACAAAAGTCTCCTTCACAACAAAGTCACATGACAATGTCAGTAAAAGCTCTTGTTCATCTCTGGCTGTGATGAATGTGACGACATCGGTGACGAACCTGAAATGTCAACGATGGTCAGCGTTACGTTTTCATTGGTGAAGTCACAGGACGTTCATCTGGAGCTGGTTTATAGCTTCACACCTACATCTCTGAGTTTCCTCATCAGCACTTCCTGTGTTGTCTGACTAGGCCAGTGTGTGGATGACGACCATGATGTTTGAGCTGTAGCATCAGTGAACATGGCACATATCATCTATGGCCACAAGAGGGCACTGTCCTCACTTCTGACAACCGATCACTAAAAATGACATCATAAAAACCTCCTTTCTTCCATTGAGTCTTCTTTAGAGAAACATCTCACTGTGGACCATGTGACACTCACTCTCTGACACCTGAACATTTCTGTGCCCCAGGTTGGGACAAGCACTCGTACGGTTACCACGGGGACGACGGACACTCGTTCTGCTCATCCGGCACAGGGCAGCCGTATGGACCCACGTTTACGACAGGCGACGTGATTGGCTGCTGTGTGAACCTCATCAACAACAGCTGCTTCTACACCAAGAACGGCCACAGCCTCGGTGAGACCAGATGTTTGTTTCAGCAGAGACCACTTCATGTCCCGAACAAGAACATGAACCAACACCAGGAATATTGGACTGGGAATTGGTGAGAAAAAAAAAATCAATAACTGATCAGTGACAGAGGAGATTGATACGGGATCAGGAGAGGACAGATCAGGAGACACTTCAGTGCAGTGATGTTTTCCTACAGCCCTAGTTCTGACTGTGTCCTCTCTCCTGCAGGTGTTGCCTTCACAGACCTGCCTGTAAGTATATGAACCACAACATTCTGTGTCTCTCTTTTTTTTTTTCCTTTAGATTTTCCTTTAATTTCCTACACGTCTTTGTTCTCATCTTGTTGAACTTTCTGGAAAAACAACTAAACGTCCTTTGTGACTCATTTGGTTCTAAAAATAAGGAGCCAGTCTGTAGAAGGGTGACGAGGTGGTTGGAATGGTCCAGTTATTTCTCAGAGGAAAATAAAAAAACAAAACTGTTTTCTTTTCCTGGCTGGTCTCTGCAGCCTAATTTGTATCCCACGGTGGGCCTTCAGACTCCAGGGGAGGTGGTGGACGCCAACTTTGGACAGCACCCGTTTGTGTTTGACATCGAGGACTACATGAGGGAGTGGAGGACGAAGATCCAGGCTCAGATCGACCACTTCACTATAGGAGAGCGGGAGGGCGAGTGGCAGTCCATGATCCAGAAGTGAGAAACCTGTGTGTGTGTGTGTGTGTGTGTGTGATGGTACCTGCTACTGTTCTAACTCTGTGACCGTCTGTGTGTTCCTGTGATGGAACTTTCTGGAAAAGAAAAAAAGAGATTGTGTGTTCCTGTCGTTTAAAAAAAAAAGAAAAAAAAGAAAAAAAAAACACACCCAGAAAATCAGTCAAATTAAAAAAAAACTCAGTTTTCTATTCTCTCTGACTTTGAACATACTTGAGGCTGTGACCCAGGGATTGAGAACCTCCGGTCCAGGTCTCACGGTACACTTCCTCTTTCTGATCGTCCCTTCTTTGTTGTGGTTGCGGTCAGGATGGTGGCGTCCTACCTGGTCCATCACAGCTACTGCGCCACAGCTGAAGCCTTCGCCAAGTCCACGGACCAGGCGGTGCACGAGGAGCTGGCCTCCATCAAGAACAGACAGAGTGAGTGACAGCCACAACGTCAACAACAGGCTGCAAACGGCACCAGTGACCAGCGGTCACCTGACACCGACCGCTGGTTCTGATCAGAAATGGACCGAGAATCTGTGCTACAGCAGGATACGTTGGTTCCGACTGTTGGTCCGGCTATTGGTTCAACTGTTGGTCCGGCCGTTGGTTCCGACTGTTGGTCCGGCTATTGGTTCAACTGTTGGTCCGGCCGTTGGTTCCGACCGTTGGTTCCGGCTGATGGTTCAACTGTTGGTTTTGGCCTTTGGTTCCGACTATTGGTTTCGGCCGTTGGTTCCGACTGTTGGTCCGGCTATTGGTTCAACTGTTGGTCCGGCCGTTGGTTCCGACCGTTGGTTCCGGCTGATGGTTCAACTGTTGGTTTTGGCCTTTGGTTCCGACTTTTGGTTTCGGCCGTTGGTTCCGACTGTTGGTCCGGCTATTGGTTCAACTGTTGGTCCGGCCGTTGGTTCCGACTGTTGGTCCGGCTATTGGTTCAACTGTTGGTCCGGCCGTTGGTTCCGGCCGTTGGTTCCGACCGTTGGTTCCGACCGTTGGTTCCGGCTGATGGTTCAACTGTTGGTTCAACGGTTGGTTCCGACTGTTGGTCCGACTGTACCTCCATTGAAAATATAGGTACAGGACCAGTCTGAACAACAATAAATATCCCAGTACAGTTCATCACCTTACGTCAGCTGACCTCATTCTGACCTCATTCTGACCTCATTCTGACCTCATTCTGACCTCACATGTTTGGGGACAGTAAGTGACAGTATGTGTTGTGAACAGCGATGTCTGATGGACGGCTGTTTGACGTCGTTGTCGTTTCTCTGCAGAGATCCAGAAGCTGGTGTTGTCAGGCAGAATGGGCGAGGCCATCGAAACCACCCAGACACTGTACCCCAACCTCCTGGACAGGAACCCGGACCTGCTCTTCATGCTCAAGTACGATCCAGCAGGAAGTGTGGTGTTTGACCGGGTCTCAGGTTCTGGTGGGAGGGTCTTAATTAGAGGAAGCCCACCCAGCAGAGCCATCAACCAAACCTTCTCCCTCATCCGTCACTTGTGTCTCTTGCTTCAGGGTGAGACAGTTCATCGAGATGGTAAACGGGACGGACAGCGAGGTCCGATGTCTCGGAGGTCGCAGCCCAAAGTCTCAGGACAGTTACCCAGGCTCCCCGCGGGCTTTCAGCAGCCCCGGCCACAAAGCTAGCAGCTCCCAGTCCTACCTCACAGGTACGCATGGCATCGCCAGGTTTCTGCTGGGGGGGGGGGGGGGGGGGGTGATGCTGCAGACCTGATGCTAATCTTTCTCTGTTGGTGTCAGGATTTGACAGCAACTGCTGTAACGGCGTGACGTCCAGTAAGAGCCACAGCTCCTCCCCCCACGGTCACAAGTCGTCCCCCACCTCTGGTTCTTCTCTCCCAGCCCCTGACGTCAGCCTCAACGGAGGCCGCAGTCAAACCACCACAACCAGGTACCAGGGTTCATCAGCTGTTAGCCGTTAGCAGCAGTTAGCAGTTGTTAGCAGTTAGCAGCTGTTAGCTGTCTGAACTTAAAACTTTGACCTCATATCATAGTTGTGCTTCACACACACACACACATACACACACACACTACCTGCTCTGTCTGTTAGCAGCGACGTGGACATGGAGGTGGACCACTTCACCAACGGGGTGACGGAGTCGTCCTCCAATGGTTTCCTCAACGGCAGCTCCAAACACATCACTGAGCCTGAGGAGTGTGAGGCAGACATGGGTGAGTGCTGTCCTCACCCCTGTTTTTCATGTTGCGCTAACTTAGCGCTAACGGAGCTGTCTAAGAGTTAGCCAAATGAGAACGAAAGAGTTCAAATAACGTTGGTTCTGATTTATTTATACCTCCTTCCTTGTGGGCCACACCTCCTCAGAAGTGGACTCCTCCCTCTCCAAGCGGCAGCTGTGCGGCGGCAGTCAGGCGGCCATCGAGAGGATGATCCATTTCGGCAGGGAGCTGCAGAGCATGAGCGAACACCTCCGCCGCGAGTGCGGCAAGAACTCGGCCAACAAGAAGATGTTGAAGGTGTGCTGGAGACCGTCACGTCCGATGCACGCTAACGTTAGCCACATCACGCTAGGCTTTGTGGTACCAATGACCGTGTGACCTTGTCTCCCCCTGCAGGACGCCTTCAGCCTCCTTGCCTACTCCGACCCTTGGAGCAGCCCAGTTGGCTACCAGCTGGACGCCATCCAGAGAGAGCCCGTGTGCTCCACTCTCAACAGTGCAATATTAGGTGGGTGAGGTGTGGCCCGCGGGCCACATCTTGAGGTCGCGCAGAGTCAACAGAGTTCTGTTTTTACTTTCATTCAAACCAGAGACGTTTTGTCCTTTGTGACATCATCACAGGTGTTGTCCTGACGTCTCTTTGTCTCTCTGTCTCTCAGAGACTCACAACCTGCCCAAGCAGCCGCCTCTGGCCCAGGCCGTGGGTCAGGCCGCTCAGTGCCTCGCCATCATGGCCCGGACCGGCAGTGGATCCTGCGCCTTCGCCTCTGTGGACGATTACTTGCCCCCCCCCCCCCGTCTACCCCGCCCCGCACACACACACACACACACACACAGTTGTTGCAGGCCTGGCTGCCAGTGTCTCTGTCCTCCCTGCAGTCATGTTTACTCTGACTGTACCATCACCATGACTGGAGACACGTGGTCAGGTCACACACACACACACACACACTTCATCAAACCTGGAGCCGGCCCGGCCTCAGTGGTTCTGAGCGTCTTCGTCAACCTCATCCAGAACTCCCCAGGAGCTGAACTCATGAAGACTTACTGTGGATGCCCCCACCCACCTCCACCCACCCCCACCTCCTCACCCTT